TGCTCTGGGGTCCAAGACTTGGACCCCGCTTGCATATGATGCATCTGCCCTGAGCACATCCATGTGGCAGGCTGGTGGTGCCCCTTCTTTTGTACAGTGACTCGGTGACTCGGTCCGCCTTCAGACGCCATCGTCGATCCACACGTTGAGCCGCTATCCTTGCCTCCAATCCGACGGCCCAAACGCGTCGTTAACTTCTCGCCCGCCCTCGGTTACCACGCGTGCGCCTCGCTTCACCGACCACTCCATTCCACGCGCCATGTGCTTCACTCATCGCGCGACCGTCCCCCCCTCCTCCGTCTCTCTCACCCGCACTCGGCTCGGACAATCCCCAGTCTATCACGACTCGCGAATCACAGGACGCGCTCACATCGCTACTCCCGAGTCCGTTCCCCCAAACCCAAGCCTCTTCCTAGCCAACAAATATCGTGGCGTTCTGAACACAATGCCAGTTCTAGCACCTCACCATCCTTTCTTGCTAATTAGCCAAAGCAGCTCAAGATAGTCTGCAGTTGTTAACTTCCAAGCACTTTTGGCCTGCCTGATTAGCTTTCAGCAGTCTGTGGCGCGCTGTTTTTTCTGTTAGTTCATAGAGTTGGTTTCAGGCCGCACGCGATGGCCTCGTTATTTTTCCGTTCACAACGCCGTGACGTCAGAGTGTGGTTCGTTTGCGCCTCAGTCGTCGCGCTTCTGGTCGCCGCGGGAGGTGCTCGTCAGTATGTGTCAGCCGCCGCACCGACTAAGGCGCAGCTTAAAGCGGAAGTTAAGAAGATGGCGGATCACGTGAACGCGCACTACCCGAATTACGTCAAGTTCGCGAACGCCGTGAAAGCCGCTATGTCGCTCAACTACGACGTATCCGCGTTAAAGAATGCGACGATATTGATGCCCGATAACAATGCGTGGTCGAGCTTCACGAAGCTGGTCCCTCCGTCCGCGAAGAACCTGCCTAAGATGTACAACGTTACGGCGTACCACGTGCTTATACCGAGGATGATGCTAGCGTATATAAGGCAGCAAAAGCCGAGAGCGTTCCCGACGATGCTGAAGCAGCCTCAATATAAGCAGACCCCGATGAACGCGGTGAACGCATCGTTTGGGCTTTTAAGTTCCCCCAGGCCCAAATGGTGCACAATAACGACGGCTAGGATTTATCAGGGCCCATATTTCATCGCCCATGGCGTGGATAATCTCGTAATTCCCAAGGGTACTACTGTTCCATAGCTTCCCCATAGATAGGGTTAGGAAACCGTTCCTTCGAACCATGTACTTAGGGAGTCATTTCCGTGGCTGAAATTACCATCCTGAATGTTTTATATTGTAAACAACTACATCCCTGCCTTGCTCGCCATGTTGAGCATTGGTCTGACGACCAGTGATTTCTACCTGAAAGGAGATAAGAATTTAGGGGAAATATGCGAATCGTAGTAATCATGGGCTTATGATGGGTAAACCCGATAACGCAAATGGTCACTATACCTAGTGTTTTCACATGTGGTCACAATAAACTATCACCCAAATAGTCACAAGATGAAACCACAGTATAATCCTAGAAGTTTCTCAGCCACCTTGTGATCTCTGAAATATCGTCCATGTATAGCAGTTATGCCAAAATTTTCATGTGTAGAACAATCTCATGTATATGGCTTGATTTTTTCCACTGGCAGAAAATACAGTGTAGATATAGTACAAAGTTGTTCTGAATTTCCTAGAAGTGTGTGCTCATGACGGAGTGGTTAGACTAGAAATGTGTTGGGCTCTGCCCGCGCAGTTTCGAGTCCTGCTGAGCACGCTTTTACATTTGTTTTGTTAACCTAGTTCACCACCACCTAACAAGCATCCCATTTTCCTCTGCTGTGGAAGGCTCCGTCCAATCAGAGTTCGTGCTTGTGTCTGGTTTTGAAAGCTGGTCCAGACAACGGCGAATGGTCCTATATGGACCATACTAACCGTCAGTGGGTAGCATGCTCCTAGAACAAGTTCATTACTCATTACCCTTGTTGTCGCGACAACTGAGGCTTGTCTCAGCTGGATTCATTGTTTTCGGAAGGTTTAAAAGAGGCTCCTCATTCAGTGTACCAAACGTATTTACGCTGTCCTGTAGTGTGCGTATGTTTCCTGTGTTGGTGACATCCACCGAAGAGGCAATTTCTCTCTGACCTACGCTGCACAGGGTGAACCCTGTCCAGGACCAAGGACGACAAAATCCTCAGATCCCATTCAACATTTCTCCCATCCTACTACCCTCGCAAAGGTTTCTAGTATGAGTGGAGCCCATCTGCGAAGGGTGTTTGGATTTGACGGGAAATTCCAGGGCCACTTCTGTTTCCGCTCAAGGGCTTTAGGAAGAAGTCAAAATTTGCTCCTCCTGCCAGTGAGCCGCCTCCTCACGGCCTCATGGTAGCCCTGGGGCGGTGTAGCTTCTCCAAGTGCGGCGACTCGGCGAGTGAGGTTATGTTAGGTGTGTGCACTGTGCGAGCGAATGATTCGTTGAGCGTGAAGGGGCACCTTTTTATTCATGCCAACACATTTTGTCGTGTAATTGACGAACGTGCCACCCAAATTTCCTTCAGTGGTCGCTGTTGGCCCTGCTTTGGTTTCTGCTTTGCTGGTGCCCCACGAACCAAGCCTCTCAGCTCCATTTGTTTCGTTTCCCTGCCCGGCGACCCCACCAAAGTCCCCTGTCGTACACTTTCGTTACCGCCGTCGCTATGCATCACTGCCTGCCACACTGCTCTGCTAAACTCTGTTGTGACTCGCCTTGAGAGCAGCAATGAAAGTGTAACAAGCAGCAAAGTTAGTTATCCATCAGTGGTAGCTACTGAATGAAACCAACCGCCGCAAACCACGGCGTCGCCTCAGAAGTACGAGCAGAAGTTTAGAACAAGAAAGAGGAGTTGCACTAGCAAGCAGTTGAGTACATATAGGAAACCCTAGATTGGGCTGTACTCGCTATAGAGCCCACTGCAGGCTAGACAAATACAACATTCTGACACACCCCCATAGCCAAAGTGGGGTGCAATCAGCAGAGCAAGCAGTCATAGAGCAGGTTCCCAATTGCAAGCAAAGCTAGAGGCATTCAGAAAGGACAAGTGAGGAGGAGGAGGCGGGACTGTAAGAGGAGAGGAGATAGGAGGCGACGGCTGAAGCTGCAGACACACGGGCAACAGGAGTCACACTGGCACAGCGGCTACCGGAACAGCGCCCCGGACTACTGGAGTAACTGGCTCGGCGGCTACGAAGAGCGGCACGAGCAACGGACCCACGGGCGACTGGCGCAGCTGGCTACACTGGGCTACCAGGACAGCGCCCCGGACTACAGGTGCTGCGGACGACAGGACGGCAGCCTCCGCTCAACCTCCCCCAACTGTCCCACCCCCCTTTCACACACCCCTTGCTTTACCCCTAGCTCCACTACCACGTCACCCCCCTAGCACCACTCCCCTCGGCTCCCACACACCCACCCCCCTCAGCGGCAGCTGCAGCAGTGGGAGACGAAGAAGGAGGAGGAGAAGGGGAAGGGTAGCACCCACACCGCTCACCCCCATGCCCGCCACCCCACACCCCCCACCACCGCGGAACGCACGGCGGCACGGGAGCAATGGGCGGCACGGGGGAGGGAGGGGGGGGGGGGACGGGACAGCAGGGGCCGCGAGTGCCTAGCCAGGGCGCCGCGACAGACCAGCAGGGGCCGCGCGCGCCGCGCCAGGGCGCCGCGACGGACCAGCAGGAGCCGCGCGCGCCTGGTCAGGGCGCCGCGACGGAGCAGCAGGGGCAGCGCGCGCCGTGCCAGGGCGCCGCGACGAACCAGTAGGAGCCGCGCGCGCCTGGCTAGGGCGCCGCGACGAAGAAGCAGGAGCCGCGCGCGCCTCGCCAGGGCGCCGCGACGGGACGGCAGGGGCCGCGCGCGACACACCAGGGCGCCGCGACGGGACGGTCAGGGGACGCGCGCGTCTCCCCAGGGCGCCGCGACGGAGCAGCGGGGGCGGCGCGCCAGGAGGAAAAGGGGCCGCGCGCCCCGGGGCGCGCGCCAGAGAGTAAAACGCCGCGCGCCTACGTCGCACGCCACGGGGCGTGCGACAGATCGAGTAGCAGCGGAAGCAGGTTGGTGGGCCCACAGGCCAAGAGCGTAGATGCTCTGAAACCATGTCAGAAGTACGAGCAGAAGTTTAGAACAAGAAAGAGGAGTTGCACTAGCAAGCTGTTGAGTACATATAGGAAACCCTAGATTGGGCTGTACTCGCTATAGAGTACTGTGAAGATAGTAGGTAGAGTTAGAAGCCATAGCTAGGTAAGTCCTAGCTAGGCAAGAGAAGTTTAGGCAAAAGAGGAGGGGTTCACTAGCAGCAATGAGGATACATATAGCAAACCCTAGATGGGTTGTACTCGCTATAGAGCACCCCACTACAGGCTAGAGAATAACATTCTGACACACCCCCATAGCCAAAGTGGGGTGTAATCAGTACAATGAGCAAGCAGGTATAGAGCAGGAGTTCACAAAGGTAAGCAAAGCTAGAGCTAATCACAGCGGGCAAGTGAGGAGGAGGAGGAGCTGTGGAGGTAGAGAAGATGGGAGGCAACGACTGAAGCTGCAGAGGCACGGGCACAGGAGCGGCTGACTCAGAGGCTACCGAAGCAAGGGCGACGGACTACTGGAGTAACTGGCTCGGCGGCTATAGAAGAGCGGCACGAGCAACGGACCCACTGGCGACTAGTGCAGCAGGCTCACTGGCTACCGAAGCAAGGGCGACGGACTACAGGCGCTGCAGGCGACACGACAGGTACCTCCACACAACCTCCTCCAACTGCCCCACACCCTCGACACACACCCACTGCTCAAACCCTAGCTCCACTCCCACGCACCCCCCTAAAACCCTAAACCCTAGGCTCCCACACACCCACCCCCCTCAGCGGCAGCTGCAGCAGTGGGAGACCAGGGAGGAGGAGGAGCAAGGGGAGTAACACACAACCGCCACCCCCACACTCCTCACCCCCAAACCCTAATTCAGGAGAACGGGCAGCAGCAGGGGTGGGGCACCGTCAGAAGCACGGGGGACAGCGAACAGCTCAGGGACAGAGAGGAACGGGCCGCCCACGGGCCTGGCACAGCCCGACGAACCGCGCGCAGGCGGCCCGAGCCGCGCGCGGGCCTGGCGCAGCCCGTACGGGCCGCGCGCGGGCCGGGCGCAGCCCGTACGGGCCGCGCTCGGGGCTAGCGCAGCCCGCGCTGGCCAGGACGGGCGACGGGGGACGACGGGCTGGTCCCCGTCGCCCGTCGAAGCGCCCCCCGGGGGCGACGCGCGGACCGACGGGGCAGAAGGCCGCCGCGCGCCTCGGGGCGCACGGCGGGCAGAGAACCGCCGCACGCCCCGGGGCGCACGGCGGGCAGAAAACCGCCACGCGCCTCGGGGCGCCCGGCGGGCAGAAAACCGCCGCACGCTCCGAGCGCGCGGCGGGAAGAGAAATCCGTCGCACGCCACGGGGCGTGCAACACACAGAGTAGCAGCGGAAGCAGTTAGGTGGGCCCACAGGCCAGGAGCGTAGATGCTCTGATACCATGTGAAGATAGTAGGTAGAGTTAGAAGCCATAGCTAGGTAAGTCCTAGCTAGGCAAGAGAAGTTTAGGCAAAAGAGGAGGGGTTCACTAGCAGCAATGAGGATACATATAGCAAACCCTAGATGGGTTGTACACGCTATAGAGCACCCCACTACAGGCTAGAGAATAACATTCTGACAAGTACCCCACTGCAGGCTAGACAAATACAACATTCTGACATTGAAACGCGACCAATCGCGATACAAAATTGAACCGCTTTTTTTTGTTGGGCTTGGAAATTGAATTCACTGCAGCAACCCAGAGTGCACGTGGGTGCGACAACCGACAACTTAGCAGCAATTTGAATGCGGTATGCGTTTCCGAGCTCTGGAGTGGATTAGCATCGTCATAGATTCTACACGCAGCTGAGAGTGCAGATTCAGCTCCCAGCGGCAAACATCGAGGTTGTTAGGTCTGATTCCCAGTACCAACAGTCACGAATACTGAGTAGCGGTACCCCGATGTCCAGCTCGCGGCAGTAATTTGTATCAGTGCACGTTTATGCAGCAGTACGAGTGTTTCCCTGTACCGAAGCCCGTGAAACCCGTTGTTCAAACCGCCGTACCATGCCGTAGAAACCCGAAAACCCGAGCTTTTTCTTCGATTTTGGATAAGATCCAGGGACCAACATGATGCGACGGAGGTTGACGGACTTGAACGACGGTCGTGCCGCGTGACGTGTAGAGCCTCAGGTGGATAGAACGAGAATGCTCGAACCTGACGCGTATCAATAGTAGCCATCGCCCCAGCGCGTCTAGACCAACTCGAACGGCAGCTCGTTTCTTCCGCAATGGACTTCACAGATATAGGGACGTGCATTCCGCAGGTAGACCCCGCGCATCGGGTCACGGCGGCTCGGCTGATGGGAACTACCTGCCCCACGTGCGACCGTCCCGTCGCCATGTCGCATCCATGGCACCACCCGCCTCTCTTCGACCGCAAAAACCCCTCCGCGCTTCGGGACTTCGGCCGATGCCGCTTCGTCTGCACCGCAGCCGCCGTTCCCATCTCCGCGCCCTCCGCGCAACCTCCCGCGCGGAGCTCCTCCGCGGAATCCTCCTCCGCCTCCGCCGCCGGAGCAGCCGCGATATCCTCCAGCACCGCGTCTGCCAGCGATCTCATCGCGGAGCGGGAGCGGCGGACGCGGGTTCGACACCTCGTAAGCGTAGAACCGGCCCTGGAGTCTCTGACGGAACCGCTTCCCGCGGGCTGCCCCGCGCGCGGGTTTCTTCCGCAAACGGCCGTTTTAGGCGGAAGCAGTCGGAGCGAGGAACTCAACATGGACTTAGTAAGCAGCGCGCCGTTAGAGGCGCTCGAAATCGGACCGCAGGCGTATCGGCGGCGCGTGGGTGACGTGTACGACGTTATTCCGGTGCTCGCGATTCCGGTGAAGGCTCCTAGCCGAGCCGGAGAAGGAAATAGTATAAGTCGCGGCGCGAGTATTGGTAACACGTCAGGCAGGAGGGGGACGTTAGCGGGGGGAATAGTTAGGGAAAACTCTCTCAGAAGTAATTCCGGAAATTTCGGTGCGTGGGATGCGGAATCTGATTCGACGAGCGTCGCTGGTGGCGACGATTCAGCTGCTGCTGGCGGTGCGAGGAATCGCGTGGCGTGTTGGTGGCGATTGGTGGTCATCGCCGCTGACGATTTGATGGCGACGAACGACGAATTGTTACAGCGGTGGTTCGCGAACACGGATAACACGCGGAAGTTCGCCGTCTGGGCGAAGAAAGGTGCGAAGAAAACGGATCCGCTGCTCGGGTTTTTTTTTCCTCTCAGCCCCATCATTTTGGTCAGCAGAGAATTATGTTAATCTAATACATAGGACAGCAAAGACAACCCCCCTACTCTCTCCCTTTATTCCTTTCCCCCTTGCTCCCCCTCTCCTCACCCCTACACTCACCCAAACTCTTTACCTCCCTCCCCTTTTTCCCCTTCTTGATCCCCGTTACAGCTCACCCCGGTAGCAAGTTCAAGCTGCACGGGATGACGATTGGAGCAAAGGAGAGGGACGAAGTGAAGCGCGTAGCAGCGGATGCGCATCGTTCGTGGCAGCTACAGTTCGCGGATGGTAACCCTATTTGTCGCTGCTCCTCGCTACCACACAAACAGCAGCAGCAACAGCAGGAGCAGCAGAAGCTGACAGGCGGTACGGAGTCCAAGCCTGCACGTTCGGCAAAGCCTCGGTCATTGAATCTAGGTTTTGTAAAGCCAAAACCCGCAGCGCAGTACATTCGCCGGCCGAGTTTTGATTTTGGTTCGGATATAGGGGTAACATCACGGGGAATGGGGGTAATAGGGGAAACAGCAAGAACAGGGGAGGAGCGACAAGGGGGAGGGGAGATTAAAGTGGAAAAGAAGCGATTTCTTGGTGCTTTAAAAGGAGGGATCCGGCACGGTAAAGATAAGGACGGTCATGATCACGATGGGATGGAGGCAGTTTTAGGTTTGGAGAATGGACGGCTGGAATGCAACGGGGGAGCTTCGAATGATGTGCATGGTAACCAGCTCGGTTCCAGTGGTAACCAGCTCGGTCCCAGCAGTAACGGTATCTACAACGAAAACGGCAACAGTGGCGAATGCATGTCTAGCGATCCTGCAGCTGCTGCGAGCAGTGCAAAAGGGGGGAAGGTGAAGCACAGAAAGAAGCTGTTCAACCGATCAACGTCTGACAACGGCGCATTACATGACCTGAAACAGTCCGGACTTAGTCGATGGAAAGCCAGAGGAGTAGTAGGAGGAGAAGGGGGAGGAGGGGGAGAAGGGGGAGGAGGGGTAGGGGGAGCGGGAGGAGGGAGATTTCGGCCTTTGGACATTGATGTTGGTGATGACGGTACTGCTGCTGGTGTTCCTTATTCCCTCTCCACCTCTGTTCTTTCTCCAACTCTCACTGCCTCTTCTTCCCGAGACTCGACTGCTGCTGCTGGTGCGGCCGCTGCTGCTGTTAATGCTGCTGACCTTCGTTCCCTCACGAGCGCCAGATTTGCTGCCAGCAGCAGCACCAGCAGCAGAGGCGACCAATCAGCACACAGTGTGTTTGAACCTGCAAACCTGTCACCTGAATTATCACCTGAACCACCACCCTATCACCAGCAGCAGCACCAGCAGCAGAACCACCACCACCAGCAGCACCAGCAGCAGCGACATAAGCATCATCAGCAGAATCGCTTGGGAACCCCGGATCCCTCCGCCCATCGCTCCTTCCGCGCGCCTGCACGCTCCCCCCTCCGCTTCCTCTTCTCCCCAGCGCACCTCTGCACCTTTGGCGGGAACCCCTTTCCTCCCTCCCGGATCCCGGGGGATTTTGACAGCGACAGTGATGGGGAGGAGTGGTCAGGAGGTACGAACGGGACAAGGGTAGGTGCGACAGGAAGAAAGAGCGAAAGCAGGGGGAGAGGAGGAGGAAGAAAAGGCTGGGAGGAGGAGGGGGATGAGGAGGGACTGGGGAGCAAGGGGTTGGGAGGGAAGTTACGTAGAGGAGGAGAATCCCGCTCAGCTTTTGACATTTCCGAGCCGCAATTGCAGTCCACCACTGTCAATTCTGCGCTGCTTATCGGCCGCAGTAAGAGCTACACTGACGCTGTGCCTGTTGCAGCTTGTATCGAGTCGAATGCTATAGAGGGTACAGCGGACGGTGATACCACACATGGGGCGAAGGGACGCGGAGCGGAAGGGGAAGCACAGTCAACTTGGCTGCTTCCGTTAGAAACAGGAGAAGCAGGAGAAGCAGGGGAAGCAGGGGAAGCAGGGGAAGCAGGGGAAGCAGGGGAGAATGTTCGAACTCTAGCCCCGTTATCCCCTCTCCTTCCAGACTCTGCCTTCACAAGCACAGCACACTCAACTTGTAACACCTTCGGTAGCAGTAACACTTTTGCCAGCAGTAACACTTTTGCCAGCAGTAACTCTTTTGGCAACAGTAACACGTATGGCAGCAGTACCAGCTCTGGAAGCGGAAGCAGAGTAACTGGTAACATCACATCTGGTAACCAGGTTACCGATGACGACAGCAACACACTGACCCGTGGTAATGGTAAAACCCTAGGCAGCAGCAGCAAGCGGGTTTCCGGCCCATCAAAGCAACACAGGCGAATGGCATCAGCAGCTGATGTGGATCTTCACACTTTCTCCCCTTCCCATACCTCCATCCCTCCACCCTCCCCCTCCAACCTTTCCGCTACCCACCCTACTTCCACCCTCCCCGCTTCCACTCACCCCTCTTCCTCTCACCATGCTTCCACTCACCCCACTTCCACCACCTCCCACCGATCCTTCCTCCGATCAGCTGACGGAACCTTTGAGGCGTCTCAAAAGTCCGCCGGCCACCGATCGTTCCTGAGATCGGCTGACGGCACACAGGAGGCCAACCGTGCCGCTTCTGCTGTTGCTGCCGGCCTTGCTGCTGCTGCTGGCGCGGCTGCTGGTGCTGCTGCTGGTGTGGCTGGTGGTGTGGCTGGTGTGGCTGCTGGTGTGGCTGGTGGTGTGGCTGGCGCTGCTGCTGGTGTGGCTGGTGGTGGTGGTGGTGGTGGGATGGCAGGAGGCAAGACGACTCAGCTGCTGCTGTCTCAGCCTATAAGGCACCGTCGCAACTGCAGCAGCAGCGTTCTGCCTGCTACCCCGCCTGGTGCTGCTGCTGCTGCTGCTGCAGCTGCGTTTGTTGCTTCCTCGGTTGCTGCTCCTGCTACCTCTGCTGCCCCAGCTGCTGCTGCTTCTTTCTCTGCTGCCAACAGCCGTGCTCTCGGTCGCTCGGCCTCCCAAGCTTCATCCAGCAGCAGATTATCCAGTGGTTCGGTGCGGTCCAGAGGTGCCGGATCTGCTAATAACGAGGATTGCTCTGTGCTATGCGTTGAATCACCCCGAAATGGGGAGGAGAGAAGGGAGGGGGAGGAGGGGGGTAAATGGCAGGATTGGAACGATTTCGAGGATTTTCAAATGACACTTGCTGGGGGAGAGGAAGGCGAAGGGGAGGAGAGTGAGAGAGGGGTGAGTGAGGGAGATTCAAGTGGGAGGTTTGACAAGAGCTCAATAGGTGACTGTAACGAGCTACATAACAGCAAAGGTGTGACTGTAGCGAGTGGTCGGGTGCATCCTCGGAAGGTAAGGAAAGCAAAGAGTGTTGGGAAGGCTTTAGATGCGGTCGAAAACGGTGGAGTGGGAAGCGGTGGAGTGGGGAGAGATGGAGTGGGTAAGGGTGGAGTGGCAGGGGAAAAGGCAGAAGATGGTTTTTGTGATTGCCCATCGTCAGTTTCTATTCGCTCTGATGCTGCTGCTAGTGCCACTGGCTCTGCTTCTGGGCCAAGGGTTGTGAGGATTAAGAAAGGAGGCAGGAGCAAGAGCAGCTCAGAGGGGTGTAGAGTGGTGAAGCTAGGTGAGGAGGGGGGAGAGGTGGGAGCTGGGTCAAGCCGAGGTGATGCGATAGGGTCGAGTGCGGTTGAAATGGAAGGGGAAGTTCCCCTGGTGGTTTCGGGCAGAAGTAAAAGTGCGGTGTATGGAAGGAGCTTAGAGAAAGGTGAGGAGGGGTCGCGGAGTGGGAGGCGCCGGGCATCTGAAGTTCTCCAGGCTGCCCGGCGGGCATCAAAACATGCGAATGCACTGAAGCAGGCCGAAAAAGGACCGCAGGCAGGAGGAGAAGCAGTAGCAGCAGAAGAAGGAGCAGGAGCAGGAGGAGCAGGAGGAGCAGGAGCAGGAGGAGAAACAAGGGTAAGGGAGCGACCTGGAGGAGAGGGAGTCAGGGAAGCAGCAGCAGAAGCAGGGGATGGGCCTGTTGGTGGTGTAAAACAGCCGCCTATGCATTACTGGGTGCCTTTGAAAGGTGACGATGAGGAGGAGGAGGAGGGGGGTGAGGGCGAGGGTGAGGAGGAGGAGGAGGACGATGACAGTGATGCTGTTGCCACACCAACATTCGCAGCAGCAAGAACCGGTGCAGCGCAGCAGCAGCAGCAGCAGCCGCACAGCCCAGCAGTGGCAGCCCAGGCCCGCCCCCGTGCAAGGTCGGAAGGAAGCTTGCATTCCAAGGGGGACGTTTCCGAGCCGACCCTTGTAGTTAAACCCCCCCAAAGGGTTCCTTCTGAGTGCTCTCAAGGGGGAAGCTCCTCCTCCTTCTCCCCCTCACACCCCTCACCCCCCTCACCCCCCTCACCCCCCTCCCCCTCCTCACCCACCTCACCCTCCTCTCTCCCTGTCCACAAGGCTCGCACCCTTCCCTCCTCTCAAGCTTTATCTGAGCTCAACCGGCGCATAGAACGGGACTTGCACGGAGTTAAAACCGTCCCGGAACTAAGGGTGCTAGCACGTCAGTCCTCAGAAGGAAGGATCCTGGAAAGTGCTGGGATGGCAGATGGGATGAGGCAGGGAGATGCGGAAGGGGTGGGGCTTGATCGGAGAGCAAGTGTTGCTGCTACTGCTGCTGCTGCTGCTCTTGCTACTGCTCCTGCTACTGCTCCTGCAACTGCTACTGCTACTGCTCGTCCTGCTTCTACTTCCACGCGCTCTGCTGCTATAGAAGCAGCAGGAGGAGGAGGAGCAGCAGCAGCACCAGCAGCAGCAGGGAGAGGAGGAGGGGGGGCAGTAGCAGCAGCAGCCAATGCCGCTGCAGGTGCATGGGCCTCGCGTCGGTCCCCATCCCCCATATTAGCAGCTGCGATGCGAGCATCAGCAACCTTAGAGCTACAGAAGCAGCAGCATCAGAGCCTTATGAACGCCAGAAACAGCAGATTCTCCTCCTCCTCCTCCTCCTTGCAGCCCTCCTCTGCCTTTACCTCCTCTTCCTCCTCCTTTGCCTTTCCTGTAGCCACCACCAGGTTAACCGGTTTTCCTTCAAACTCCCCTTCCTTAACCTCCTCCTCATCATCCTTCAAGCCCTCCTCTTCTTTTCTTCCCTCCTCCTCTCACTTGACCGTTTCCCAATCAGCCTACTGCTCCCCTGTCGTCCGCACTCCCGCTTCCCTTACTCCCACAATCTCCAGTATCGGCCGGCTGTCGAGCGATCTCGGCCCTTCATTCGACTCCTCGGATCTCGCTGCTGCTGTGGCCGCTGCTGCCGCGACTGGTGGTGGGATGAGGGGAAGAAGCAGAGGTGTGGGTATGGGTATGGGTCCCTCCCCCTTTGTTGCCCGTGCTGCTGCAACTATGCAGAAAGGGAATGTGTGCCAAAGGAGGTATGGTGGTGGTGGCGCTGCTGCTGGTGCTGCTGGTTCTGCTGCTGTTGGTTGTCGTAATGGTGGTGTTGGTGCTGCCGCCGCCGCCACTGCTGCTGCTTCTGTTGGTGCTTCTGTGGGGGACTGGAGTGGAGGAGGGGAGTGGGGCAATGGCACTGGAAGCACCGACACTGGCGCTGGTACTGCTGATAACGACAGCAACGGCTTTGGCTACACGGGTAGCAGCAGCAGCAACACCACCTACGTCAACACCAACACCACCAGTACCACCAATGCCCATACCAGTACCACAACCAATATCAGTACCACTAGCAGTACCGATGCCAATACCAATGCCTACCACGAGCCGCCCGCCGACGACAACGAGACGACAAACACCGGCCACACGGCAGCAGTGTTTCGGCGAAAAACCATGGCAAGGAAACCTGCAGGCGCACTTATGCTCTCATCAGCTACTACCCCCCGATCCCTTCAATCCCATAAGTCGACTCAAAAGCCATCTCTCCACTCTCCCACCCTCCACACTACCACTGCTCTCCGCTCTCCTCGCTCCCCTACTGCTCTGCCTTCTTCCCGCTCCCCTACTGCTCTTCCTTCTCCCCACTTCCCTACTGCTCTCCCGTCTCCCCGCTCACCCAGTGCTGCGCAATCCCCCACCCAGGGTCAGCAGCAGGCCCACTCTCCCCCTCATTCCCTGCCCTCTAATGGCCAGGGCACCATGAAGAGTTTCAAGACGTCTCAAAAGTCCCCCACCCAGGGTCAGCCACAGGCCCACTCTCCCCCTCGCTCCCCGCCCTCTAGTACCCAGGGTGCCACTTCATCTACTGCCGCCAAAGCAGGCAAAGGAGCAGCCTCTTCTTCTTCCTTAAAGCCAGGGAAGAGCAGCAAAGGGAGTGCAAGCAGCAGCACCACGAAAGGTAGCGAAAAGGACGGTGGTGGCGTGAAAACTCCCGCCGTTACAAGTGGTGCGAAGAAAAAGAGCAAGGAAGGCTCTCATACGAGGGATAAAAGCTGGGCAAGTAGCGGCTCGGGAACCGGCCCCAACAGCCCTCTTGTGCCCCCTTTGATCCCCATTGCCAAGCCTGTTACTCAGGCTCGTGAAGCTGTTATTGCGCATGAGCTTTCCGATTCGGGAGTGGCCACAGCAGGCTTGTCGTCGTTGCCTTCTGCCTCGCCTGTGGCAAGGAGCGGGCTTGGTGCGGCAAAGGCGTCCCGTATACAACCTAAAATTGTTTCGAGTAAGGCCAGACAGCCCGTACAATGATAGGATTCATTTCGCCTAGTCTTGATTGTCATGTCCTCTAATGTGGTCTCATTTTTCCATGATTGGTAGTTGGCTGTTTGTTGGCACATTCAGTAATATATTGTTGCAAGGAACTGTATCGTGTATCCGACCTGACAATGTCTGGACTCTAGAATTACCCTTGACCAGGCCAAAACTGTTGTGGACGGAGTCCCTTTTTCAACGGTTACAGTGCTCACCTGCGACGCGCCCCATTCCGTATGCTGGCTGGCAAAATTTGTCAAGTGGAGCCCCATTCCGTATGCTGGCTGGCAACGTTTGGCATTGGAACTGCCTTAACCGTCGTTTTCGTCAAATGAGTGTGTGCAGCTGTCAGCTCCAATACATCAAAGATTTGGCTCTACATTCGATGGTAAACGCTGATAACTCCAATCGACTATAGGGACTGTTCTCGAAATGGATGGAAGTGTGGAAGCATTCCTAGAGATGGTGGCAGTTGTCTCTGGGTGGCAAATGTGGACCAGAACGAAACAATGTAAGGACAGTCGTACCCTACCATCAAACGCTCTGTATCTTTCTCCACCCTGCTCAGCCGTTCTACAGTAGTCTTGTATAGGATTTCTGCTGCTGCTGAGGATGGAGCTCGGCGGACCGCAATCGGACACAGGTTGTGTAGTGTGTGATATTTCTGGTATAGGATAATATATCTGATTGTGTTCTACAAGGCAGCTGTTATGGGTTCACTTTCATCCGCTTCATGGGATGGCGGGATTGGGTTGGATTGGAATGGAACTTGAATTGGAATTGGAACTCGAAAGCACGGGAGGGCGACTAACACCACGAGCAGCAAACAAGAAGCTGCTCTAGGCACAACACGGCATAATTACAGGAAGTTGTTGACATCGTGTGATAAGCAACAGTCAGATGCTTCTAAGCACCCCGTGCCTTCCTAATCTGGCGATGACTCGTATAAGCACGTGAAAGCGACGACGCCTACAGTCAAGTTAGAATTTTGCAGGCAATGACATACGTACTACGGATAGGCTGAGGATAGGCTCAGTCAGCTAGCTTGAAGCAACGGACTAATACCTGACTACCAAAACAGAGGAGAATAATCAAGCTTCAGTACTGTTGAACAGGCTGCATTAGCATTTATCCACCGGGTTACCACTGGCAGTCCACGCATTCGGCCGAATCCGAATCTACCACTGCTAGCCGCAGGCCGAGCAGGCATGGATTTCGTAAAAGCAGGGACGTGTGTCCCTTGCGTAAATCCTTCGCTCCAGCATCGTCCACTTCCCACACTCGACTCTACTATGGCTTCTCACGCCAGCCTAAAGCTATCTCCCTCCTCGTTCTCGTCTTCCATATGCGAGAGCTGCTCCAAGCCCCGCGATATGTCGCACCCATGGCACCACCCTCCACTCTTCGACGAATCCGCACGATCAGATCTCGGGCTTTGTCGCTTTGTGTGCACAGCGCCGCCGCAGCCGCCAAGGTCACCCGCCTCCGACTGTTCACGCGATGCCTCGGCTTTGCAGGGGGGGGAAGCGGCCAATGGTTCTATCAGTAGTGGTTCCGCCGGTCGCGCCGCACGCGCGGTACCACTCAAGAAGCGCGACGCCGCATTCCTCCAAGAGCTGTCGGTGCGCGAGGAAATGGCGGCGCAACGCGAACGTCGCACGCGCATTCGCGAACTGGTTGCGAGCGATCCAGCCGCGCTCTCTCCGCTCACCGACCCCGTCCCGGCGGGATGCCCGGTGGCGCGCGGTTTTTTTCCGGAAACAGCGGTATTGGCGGGTTGCGCGCGGGACGACGTGTTGGGGGTCGAAGTGCGCACCAACGTTCCGCTTGAAGCTATCGATATCGGGCTCGAGTCGCACAATCGGCGAATAGGTGACGTGTACGACGTGGTGCCGTTATTCGCGATCCCGATGGGCGGAACAAACGGTCCGGGTTCGAATCTTGAAGACGACGAAACTTTAGCGACGCCGCTGGGGATTAGGCGGAAAGCGTGGGCAGACGACGACGACGAGACCGAGGGGGAAGACGAACCGCTCAGCACGCGGTCGATGCCTTTGAAGGGCGGTAGCGGGGGGACGAGGGGAGGGCGGAAGCAGATTGGCGGAGCGGAGTCGGAAGACGAAGGCGGAAGTGCGCGAAGGGATTCGCGCGCGCGGGCGCAGCAGTGGCGGGTGGCAGTGGTGGCGGCGGATGATGACTTGGCGGCGGACGCCGCGCTGCTGCGCGATTGGTTCAACGTCTGCGGCAACACAAGGGCGCTCTCCGCGTATCTGCAGAAGGGTACGCGCAGGTCGAGGGTATGCGCAAGGTATCCGCAGTTTCAGGGTACCTGCAGGTCAAGGGAACGCGCAGGTCGAGGGTACGCGCAGGTCAAGGTTGCTCTCATTGCTACGGGCAGGTCAAAGTTATGGCTATGGTACCTTGTGGTTATGAGGGGCCTCAAACGATGCGCTCTCCGCGTGTCTGCAGAATGGTTTCGGCATATTAAGTTAGCACGCCCAGGCCACGCCATTGCGTCTTCGAGTCTCCGCAGCATGGCGGTCCGCCATGTCCGTCGTTAATACCCTCATCATATTTCCACGAATATCTGTACATTTCTCATGCCCACTTTTCGTGAGTGGTTTTCGTTAGATCTTCCTCTGCATGTCTGTCGTTCACACCCTTCCTCAATGATTCCCGTTACCGTTTCCCGTTTACCTTTCTCATTAACGCTACCCCTTTCCCCTTTCCAACTCAGCAGGCCGTCGGGGCTCGCCGCTGCGTCTGCGCGGCATGACGATCGGGCCGCAGGAGCGCGACGCGGCGCGCAACTTAGTGTCGAGCGCGCACTTCTCGTGGATGCTGCAATACGCCATCGACTACGCCATCTGTCGCTGCGCCGCCGCCGCTGACTCACCGCTGGATGACTGTCACGTGGCGGAAGCAGCGCGGGTGTCAGAAACCGCGGAAGCGGGTAGCGGCACGGCGAGGCGCTCCGCGGCGGGGGACGAACGGGAGGGCGCGGCGGCGGGCAAGACGGGTTCCGCGGACCACCGCGGCGCGATTCCGGTGTCCGTCTCCGGCCCCTCCGCTGCGACGACCGGCGCGAGCGCGCGGCACTCCTTATCGTCTGCGCCAGAGGCTGGCGGACTGATAGCCGCGGAAGATTCCCCGCAACGAAGCGCGAACCTATCCGACAACATTCCCCCGTGCGGCTCGCCCTACGATTCGGATCGGTCGGGTCCCCTGGTCTCCGCGCGGGACGACGCTCGGTCGTCGCGTGCGAAGTCGTACAGGCGCTCTGCGACGCTGGGTGCGACGGATCTTCACCGGATTATCTCCGCGACTGGCGGTAGGCGGTTGCGCGGAAACACGGGTAGCGATAAAGAGAGGAGCGGGAGCGGTAAAGAAAGGGGTGATCGAGATAGCGCGATAGGAGAAATTGCGAGCAGGGGTAGCGAAAATCAGAGTCTGGGTTGGGGGAGCGGCGAAATAGCGAGTGATATTGGCGAGGGTTTAAATACAAAGAGCGGGAACCTCGGCAGTCAGGGTTGCATCAATGTGACTGTAGAGGAAGGGCGGAGGAAGGAGTTCCCTGCTAGTCTGGGCGGCAACAAGCACAGCTACAGCAGCGTCACCACCGTTAGTGGCACAAGCAGTACACCAACCGGGAGTTTCGATGACAGCTCCACAAGCAGCGGTACGAACAGTGGCGGGTTTCGCGACGAGGGGACAGGCAGAGCTGGTTACAGCAGTCGTTACAACGACCAAAACAGCAGAAATGAAATGTTAATAAATTCGAAAAAAACCGAAGGTGCAGTGAAGGAGGTGGCGAGGGCAGGGGGGCAGGCGAATAGCAATGATGAGGGGACAGAAACGGGGAAAAGAACGCCAACCGTGAGCGGCCGGGCGAGTTGGGAAGGGAAGGGAGAAGAAGTTCCAGAAAGTGGGCGGCTGACTGATTCAAAACTATCTGATCCGCAGAGCTTGCAGGCGCCTCTGCCTCTGCCTCTGCGTGTGACCGAAATTGGAAGCAATTCTGCTGCGCCAAGCCCAAGGCGGTCGCGGTCGCCACTGGGCGGCATTTTTCGGCTTGTGCTGAACTCCTCGTGCTTCTCTTCAGCGGCGAAAGAAGGGGGGGCGGCAGCGCAGGGTGCTGTGAAAGGGAACAGGAAAGGCACTCCCAGCAAAGTGGGAGGTTCCGGTACTGATTCTTCTTCAGGTACTGAGAGCTTAGGAGGGTGGAGCCAAGACTGTGTGACAGGCGGTGGGAAGAAGGCTGCTTCTGATGAGTCTGATTTGAAATCTCGGGTTGCAGGAGGTACAGAAGCAACACAGGTGGATGGAGGGCTGGGAGGAACGGATGCAGGCAACAAGGAGTTCCAGAATGTGCAGCAGCTGCAGCAGCAGCAGCAGAAGCAGCAGAAGCAACTGCTGAAGGATGGTGACAGAAAAGATTGTTTCGGGAAGGTAAATGTGATTATAGAGGGGGGAGTAGCACCTCAGGATATCTTCGGTTTTCTACGTGACCCCAGGCTCAGTCACTGTGGCAAAAGAGGGGGCTTTTGGGGCGGCTCAGAAGCCGGTTCGTACAGGTACATCAGCCCAAACACCCCAAACACCCCAAACACCGCAAGCATCGCAAGCAGTGCAAACACCGCAAATAGCCAAAGCAGCACCTCAAGCAGTGCACGCGCCTCAGGCTCCTCCGGCTTCTCAGTCCCCTCAGGAGCCACAGAATCCGCAAGATTCCCCTAATCTGTTTGATTTCCTTCGAGATCCACGGCTCACAGCCACCGTGCCAAAAGAGGGCGGTGCTTGGATTACCGCCGCAGCAACAGGAGCAGCAGCTTCAGCAGGATCAAGAGCAAGAGCAGGGGAAGGAGCAGCAGGAGCAGCAGATATGCCTCATTCCTCCAGGTCATCCCTGTCACCCAAACTCCACGTGGACGTATCTGGGGAAGGTGCTACCTGTATTGGACAGGGGCCAGCTGAGAGGGTTTCGCCCATGGAGAGGGATGGCAGAGGGAGCAGGCAGCACCAGGAGAGCCAAGTGCTTTCTAACCCTGATGGGAGGAAATCATCTGCTTCTGCTGTCTCTGTATCTGCTCCCACCTCTCCTAGAGCAGCAACCATACCTGCCCTGCTGTTTCCAAGCCTCACTCCCCCTACCCACCTGTCGCCTTCTCTAGGGAAGGGCAGTCAGGAGCGTGGCGAGGGGGGGGTAAGGGAAGGCATGCTGCGGGCGGAGGGGGGAAGGAAGGCTCAGGAGCATGTACAGAGCGGATTTTTGAAAGGATTGCAGCAGGTGCCGAGTGGAGAGCAGCAGCAGCAGCAGCAGCGGCAGCAGCAGCAGCAGCAGCAAGGGAGGAAGAAGAAAGGGATGGTTCGGTGTATGTCAATGGGGCTTCCCAAGATATCGCCTTCTTTGAGCCACACCTCCCGCCGCGATACCTCTGATTGGATCACCAAAGCTGCAGCTGCTGTTTCTGATTCTGGTTCTAGCGATCCTTCTGCCGCATCTGATGTCCCTGCTGCTGATGATGCTGGTGCTGCTTTCGCAGCCGCAGGTGCTCCTGCTCCTGTTGGTGCTGCAGGTGCTCCTCCTACTGCTGCTGCTGGCACGGGGGCTGGTTCAGGCGAAGCAGTCCATATGAGCTCATCAACCCCATCAGCACCACAGGAGCTCCAAATGCGGCCACTAGCAGCCCACATGCGGGCGGCCAGCTTCAGCTCCCACAGCAGCATGAGCATGAGAGAATCACCTTTCACCACCACTCTGGCTACCCGTGCCGGTTCGACAAACAGCCGTGACCCCAAGAGGGCACTAGGCAAGAGCTCAAGCTACGAGATAGGCTCAGCCGTCTCAAGCAGGGTTGCCAGGATGTCCCTTGAGTCACCTTCCGCTCACTCTGCAGTTGGCGCTGGGGTTTCCAGAAAGTTCACACACGATGGCCTGATGACCCCATCCGAAGATTCGTGCATGGAAGAAGATGTTTCGCCTCCACCCCTGCAGCCCTCCCCGTTTCTCGCAGCGATCATATCCTCTTCCCAAGGTTCCTCCTCCTCTTCCCTTTCCCGTTCCCTATCCTCTCTGAAGCCTCCTGCTCCATCACTCGCCATTGCTTCCTCGTCCTGGGAATCGGAGCAGTCTTCTCGCAAGCTGTCGCGCTCCCAGTCATCTAACTCCGTTGCCGCAACGGCTCGTGTTTCCCCGTCGCCCCGCCTGCTGCTGCGGTCACCATCTGCCCTCTCTGCAAGGCGGAAAACCCCGGTACCACCGGACCAGTCTTCTAGCATTGGTCACCCCAACGCCGAGTCAGACAAGAAAGATGTGGCCGTGACTCGGAACAAGGAGTGTGGTACAAATTTGAACGATAGAGGCCGTGTGAATTCGGGTCGTGTGAGTGAGGGGGGGAGTGGGAGCAAGAGAGTGGGAGTCGGAGGGCTTTTTAATGTGGAAGAGGAGAGTGAGGAGGACGAGGAGGCACCGGTGTTTGGGTCGTCGGGTAAAAGTAGGTCTTTGTCGCATAGGAGGCGAGCTTCGCTACCCGTGATGCCATTACCTGCGCATGTTGAGGAGCAAGAAGCATGGTAGAAACATTCAGATATTTATGTTTGCATAACGACATGTTAGAGCTGCTTATGTTTATACTTGCTAACTGACAACCCTGGGGCAAGTTGAGTGTTCTACACAGTAAACTTTAGAGGGCCAATGCTGCTTTCGGAGCATCACGTATGGTGTGTAATTCTGGGAATTCCTTCGAGCGTTACGTTGAAAAAATCGCTGTAAACGACGAATTCTGCAACCAGGCGGGTGGAGCAAGCGACGTCGAAAGTTTGAAAACTCTGGCAGGGGTGGGAAGGAAATTGCGAGCCCAACGACCGGAGTGAGTAGCCTGCTTTGTTTTCGACAACATTTCAGCCTGCGAGGTTCCCAAGGTTTTGCCTTCCACGGGCAACCTCGAAAATATTTTCGCCGCGGAAATCGACGTCAGTTGAAAAGTGCAATGCTTTTTGTGCTCCTGCTCCATGCCGTCGTTGATTCTCGCTGGTCCCCACACGCACCCCACAGCAGGTGTGTCCCGAAAGTTCGTTTGAATGCGGCCCAATGAGGCGGTATGCGCTCTAGGGCGGTATATTATATAGATGAAATGGTTTGGTAGGGCGAGAGTGAACTGGTGGCTCGCTCGGACCTTGTTTTACCAGATTATTAGTGCTTCAGAAGATTCTAGTCATTTATGCTATTAGTTCTTACTTCATGTCAGCGCTCCTGGCTTCTATTTATTCGCGCTTCGGGCTTCTATTTATTCGCGGCTCCCTGTAACATTGAATTCCTTGACTTGATCCGCCCGCATTGCAACTTCTGAACGATTGCAGCGCATGACGAAATTGAGCAATCATGTTTTCATATTTCTCGTTCCTTCGGGATTTCGTTCCTAAACCAGCACGAGTGGAGGTACAGTCAAGAACCCGCACCAGCAGCTTTACGTCCTAACAGCTCTCACCCGCACCAGCAGCTTTACAGTCTAGCATCTAGCAGCTTTCGAACGCCAGAGTCGCGCAGCGAAAGCTACGAACCGGCAATTCGGTCAGGCACTCGCATGTTAGCTGCAACCCTTGCAGGTACAAACACTTTAGTATATTTACATTTGAGAAGTGTCAAAAGTTGGGGTCGTTTCAGGATGTCGGCATTTGAGAAATGCCAAGACAACTGAGACTAATGAAATTCTTATGCTCACCTTCTAGGTGGTACTACCAACCATAAGGTCTCAGGAGGTACAATAACATTCAGCGAGTCAGCATTCGACACGTGCTTCCACCATGAGTATGTCCTGGACCCGCGATTTAAGCATGCGGACGCGCCCTTTCTCCGCGCTTCTCATAGTATCGTTTAACGTGGTTCTCGTCGCCGCCTTATTGGCCAGCTCCGCCGCGCGCTCCTGCGCGCAAGTGCAAACGCCGTCGGCAGAAGCGTCTGGCCGCGGCTTGCCTGCCGTCCCCGTTACAAGCTCACCACGGTGGCCGCGTAGAACGCTGCTTGCTGACTCCAGCGGGAACAGCAGCAGCTCGAGCAATGGCGGGAGTAGCAGCAGCAGCAGCAGCGGAAGCAGCAGTAGCGACACGGTTGTGGTTGTAGCGCTGGTGGTGGCTCTCGCGGTGTCCGTGCTTGTATCGATGGGTGCTACAGTGGTCGCGTGCATGCTGTGGAAGCGACTGCCGCCCAGGCCAGGAGAATCTTCAGGTGTGCTGGGGAAATGTATTGCCGTTGTTCTCAGGTGCTTCGGAAGGCGGCTGCTATATGTCTTCTCCTACTCACCCACCCACCCCCCCTCACCCACCCACCCCCCCCTCACACCCCCCGCCCTTCCTCTCCCCACTTAAGACCCCCCTCCCCCCTCTCCCCTCCCCTCCCCTCTTCCATCCTCGTTACTCACCTCGTTCCCCCCCCGTTCCCTTCACTTCCCCCTTTCTCCCGCCCTTCACCCCCCTTTTCCCCTTCTCCCCCCTTTCCCCCATCCCCAGGTACCTCCGGTGCTGCCGTAACTTCATCTGTGGCTCCGGAGGAGGAACTGAGGGCGCAGGGGGCGGGCGGAGGGGGAGGGGGGCGCAGAAGGCGCAGCAGACTTGAACTTCCCCCGCCCCACTCCCCCCCCTCCCCCGACCCTTCATCCCCCAGGTGCCTCAGGTGCGGCTGTAACTTCCTCTGTGGCTCCGGAGGAGGAGTTGAGGGCGCAGGGGGCGGGCGGAGGGGGAGGGGGAAGCTCTAGCAAAGGCGGGGAGGACAGGGGGAAGGGGAAGGGGAAGGAGGCGGCAACGAGCGAGGCGGGTGGAAGAAGAGGGAGAGGGGGGCGGGTGGGGAGTGGAGAGGTAAGGGAGGGGGATGGGGTGGAGGAAGAAGAGGAGAGAAGGGGGGAAGAGGGGGGAGATGAGGAGGAGGAGGATAGACGGCAGCAGCTGCGGCGGCTGAAAAAGGAGGAGCAGCAGAGGCAGCAGCAACAGCAGCAGGAGGCGGTGCGTGCAAAGGCCGAACAGCAGCAGCAACAGCAGGTCCGGCCCGAGCCTGACGATCCAGGCTCGGGCGGAGGCACGGGGACGTTCGACATCCAAAAGGTGGTCAGCTTTCCCCTGAAAGTCCTAGTAGACGCCACCAACACTTTCGCCTCGGGCAACCATCTCGGGCAGGGTACCTACGGAATGGTGTACAAGGCGAAATTACCCTCGGGGGACGTGGTAGCGGTGAAAAGAGCCAAGGCGGACCGGAAGCAGGATGCGGGGAAATTCCGAAAGGAGATTGAGCTGCTGTCTCGGGTCAGCCATAAGAACCTGGTGCGGCTGGTGGGGTACTGCAGGGAGGGAGGAGAGCAGCTGCTGGTGTATGAGTATGTGGCGGGAGGAAACCTGTCTCAGAACCTCAACCCGACCTGGAGAGAACGTGAGTACGGCTGCTGGCTGCTAGGCTGCTGGGGGTTCCAGGCTCAGGGTGGGTAACGGCTTGTATTGCTGGGGGGTGGGTGGATCCAGGGGTGGCTGGTGGGGTAATGCAGGGAGGGAGGAGAGCAGCTGCTGGTGTATGAGTATGTGGCGGGAGGGAACCTGTCTCAAAACCTCAACCCCACCTGGAGAGAACGTGAGTACGGTTTTGGAGTGGTCGGAGGAGTCTGATTCCCGGGTTGCTGGGGTATCCTCGTATGGAATTCAGGGATGGTGGGTCCTTTTCCCTCCTCCCTCAATCCTCATTACCCCGCGCCCTCCCCCTCCCAACCCTCTCCCCTCCATTCTCTCCCTTTCCCCCCACCCCACAGGCCACAGTCACCCCCCACTGAACTGGACGGAGAGATTACTTATTGCAGCGGGCATGGCACGAGGATTAGCGTATCTGCATGAGGAGATCAACGTGCCGTTCATCCACCGGGACGTGAAGCCCAGCAACATCATGATCGACCGCCACGTGGTGGTGGCTCCTGGCCCTGTATCCCCCACTTTCCCCCCCTTTATCCCCTCCGCTCTCACCTCCTTTCGCCCTCTCTCCCAACCCCACAGGCCACAGCCGGCCGCCACTCAACTGGACAGAAAGACTCCTCATAGCAGCGGGCACGGCGAGAGGACTAGCTTATTTGCACGAGGAGATCAACGTGCCCTTCATCCACCGGGACGTGACGTGAAGCCCAGCAACATCATGATCGACCGGCCCCTTCAGGGCTTGTCGCTTTCCCCTACCCCCTGCTTAGCCCATATCCCTCCCTTTCTCCCCTCCCTTCAACTGCTCCTTTCTCTTCTCCACTCTTCCTTCCCGTCCCACCCCACAGGCCACAGCCGGCCCCCGCTGAACTGGACAGAGCGCCTGCTGATAGCAGCGGGCACGGCCCGGGGACTAGCTTATCTGCACGAGGAGATCAACGTGCCGTTCATCCACCGGGACATCTAATGGCACTCAAGCCCAGCAACATCATGATTGACTGGCACATGGTGTCTTGCCTTTCCCTGTATCCCCCACTCCGTCCCCTCCTCCTCCTTAGCCCATTCTTTCCCGCTTATCCCCTCCGCTCTCCCCTCTCTTTGCCCTCTCTCCCAACCCCACAGGCCACAGCCGTCCCCCACTGAACTGGACGGAGAGACTCCTCATAGCAGCGGGCACGGCGAGAGGACTAGCTTATCTACACGAGGAGATCAACGTGCCTTTCATCCATCGGGACGTGAAGCCCAGCAACATCATGATCGACCGCCACGTGGTGGCCAAGATTGCTGACTTTGGCACGTCCAAGCCCATGACTCCTGAGGAGCTGAGGAAGATGTCAGTCACCATCCAAGGCACTGCTGTGAGTGCTCTTTCCTTCCTTGAGTATATTCCTCCCAGGTTGTGGGATGAGGGGCTGCAAGCCCAGGTTGCATGCACCAAGTCACGCCTTACCCACGCTGGCACGTCCAAGCCCATGACTCCTGAGGAGCTGAGGAAGATGTCAGTCACCATCCAAGGCACCGCAGTGAGTGCTCATCGCCACATTACAAGGCAGTCCCTCCTTCTGTGCTCCCTCCATTCCCCCTACGTCCCCGCTCCTTCCGCCCACCCCTCTCCCCTGTGACCCCGACTGTTTGCGCACTCGCCCCTGTCGGGGCACTTTTGAGAATTCTCAAAAGTCACACACACCGATATAGCACTTTTGATCATTCTCAAAAGTCACACCAATATAGCACTTTTGATCATTCTCAAAAGTCACACCAATATAGCACTTTTGATCATTCTCAAAAGTCACACCAATATAGCACTTTTGATCATTCTCAAAAGTCACATCAATATAGCACTTTTTATCATTCTCAAAAGTCACACCAATATAGCACTTTTTATCATTCTCAAAAGTCGCACCAATATAGCACTTTTGATCATTCTCAAAAGTCACACCATAGCACTTATGAGAATTCTCAGAAGTCACCCCTCTCTCCCCACTCTAGCGCACTCACTCCCTTCATCCCACTCGCCCTGCCTTTGTTTGCCCTCCCTTCCTTGTGCCTTTTCTCCACTCCCCAGGGCTACTGCGACCCGGACTATCTGCGCACGGGGCACTCCTCCAAGCGCATCGACGTGTACTCGCTGGGCATTGTGCTGCTCGAGCTCCTCACTGGCAAGGGCCCGCACAAAGTCAACCGCCCCTACCGATTCGATGTGAGACAAGGCCACACCGCACCACACCTCACCGCACCACACCATACCACACAACATGGCATGGCATGTAATCGTTCGTCTGGTCATCGTGCTGCTCGAGCTCCTCACCGGCAAGGGCCCGCACAAAGTCAACCGCCCCTACCGATTCAACGTGAGCTGAGCCCTGGCTGGGGGAATTAGGGAGAAGGTTGGGTGGGAAGAAAAGGAGCGGGGAGGGGAGGGGTTGAAATGTTGCAGGGGAGTGGATCGGATCCCACCATTGGCAGACGAGCTGCACCATGTTTTCGACCTAGCCCTGCGCTGCACCGCAAACAACCGCTTCAAACCCCTCCCGTTCCACCTGTGTCCCTCGCCCCTACTCTCCCCCAGGTGAAGGACAGGTTTGACAGGGGCGGCTTACCTTCCATCGTAGATCCAACCATGGGGCTGTACCCTGCAGACGAGCTGCACCACGTCTTCGACCTCGCTCTGCGCTGCACCACACTCAACCGCATACCACCTCTCTCCCTCCCCCTATCCTTCTTCTCCAGGTGAAGGATCGGTTTGACAGGGGGGGCCTGCCATCCATCGTAGACCCAACCATGGGGCTGTACCCTGCAGACGAGCTGCACCACGTCTTCGACCTTGCACTACGCTGCACTGACATTCAGAACCCCGCCGCCCGCCCCTCCATGTCCCGAGTTGTCGCCGAGCTAGAGGCCGTTCTCGAGCCTGAGGCAATTTCCCGCTTCATTTCCTCTGGACCGCCGTCCCACGGCTCGGCGGACTTCCGTGCCGCGTCGTCAGGCTCGGGAGCTGGTCCGGGTGGGGCGGGGCAGTCGCGGTTTGCCGGAGCTGGGAAGCAGGTGGGGCAGGGTGGTGTAGAAGGGGGGGCAGGTTCGGCGGCGGCAGCGGGGGTAGCAGGTTTGGCAGTGGGAGGTACGGCAGGTGCAGCATTGGCTGCAGCAATCAGCTCTGCCTCTCCCTCCCGTGCTGATGATGCTGGTTCCCCTCACAATCCAGAACCTCCTAACCCTCCCAACCGCTCTCAACCGCAACCTACCCCTCCTCCGGATGCGCCTCTTCCTCCCTCCTCGAAAAGAACACCTGGACCCCCAGCATACAAGGGCCGAGCAGCAGGGGCAGCCGGAGCAGCAGCAGGGGCTGCTGAAGCTGCTGGTGGGGATATTAGGGGTGTGAGGGATAGAGATCCTGATGATGCTTATGCTCCAACAGGTCAAAACGATCCAAGAATTGATCCAAGAAGCACAGGTGGAGGTGGAGCGTATGTTGTGGGTCATGATGTAGGCGTCCAGATGAAACCTGCACCAGTTGCAGCGTTTCGAGGGGCGTCGGCAGCTGCTGGGGGAGGCGCAACTGGAGCAGGTGTTACTCTACCAAGTGTGGCTGGTGGGAATGCAGGTGGAATTGTTGGTGGCACTGGTGTTGTTGCTCCTCCTCCTGGTCAAGGATACAATATGGGAGAGAGATTTGGTGCGGGAGGAGGAGGTGGAGGTGAGATGGGTGGAGAGCGGTATGAGGAGGGCATGGATGCGTCGTTCGATTCTAGCGGGTTTGATCGCAGCGGGGTTTTCAGTTATGGGGCCATGCCGCCGGCTTAGACTGGGTTGTTGATGGTTGGTGTAGAGAGGGTTGTAGATTCAAGATAGTGAAATGGTTTCATGTATAGTTTTGTGTAGTACGGCATGGCTGTACAATTAGTTACTAGTACTGCTGTTGACACTGTTCAACAAAGCATATGGGTACAACTAGTTCTGTTTTGTACTCAACATATGTAACTTTCTACAAGAGGGAAACTAGAAAGGATAACACATAAGATATACGGAAGTTATTGAACTCACGACCATTGCCTTTAGACCACTGTACCATTGTTCTTAGTGATGAAATCACAAAAGGTTGACTGGTAGACAGGCCATGTGTTACAACGTGGCAACTGTTGATCGAACCAGCTCAACAGACAAGGGACAACACACCTGCAACTATTCAGATATGTCGAGCACTGGGCAGCACATACAAACAATGCCTGAGAGTGTATGTCAAATCTGCGTGGATTTAGGCGAATTGTAGGGGCTGAACTTTCCGAACAGTAAGCGTAATATACTTTTTGTTACGCCCGCTTTTGAACGTAAAAACTCTTGTGTCCCCCACGCAATCAGAACATGGTCACCTGGTACAGGTATGGTGCAGCAATCACGTGACGAATGTATCTGCGTCTCCATTCAACGGACTCGCAGGTTTTACCTGATGTCTGACGCATTTTGATTTCAGCCTGCGCTTCGTGATTTGTGGCATGTCGAACAGTTACACTACAAGGCGCGTTGCAAGAGGGAGGAAGTCGAAGACCAACCCGGGCCTGTCCTGCGAATAAAAAGTCCGCCCTAAGTTGCGGTAGACCAACTCAGCAACGCAGCAGCACGAGACACAGACAGATAGAGTATTTACATCCAGTGGGTCTGCAATTCATTCACCAATACCGCACACCGTGATATAGAGAGAGTATCGTTCCCCAGTTTCATTCAACTTTCACGAGCGTCAGAATGGCTCGAACTGCGCTTTTCGCGCTCTCCCTAGCCCTGCTGCTGGTGGCGGCGCGCGCCGGCAGCCCCATCACAAGCTCGTCGGCGAACGAGAAGCCCGACCAGAGCAGCAAGAAGGACGATGGGCTCATGACGGAACTCCCCGCAGACATTGCAAAGCAGGCGGCGTCGGGCAACGCGGCGGGACTGACCTACGTGGACACGGCGCAGGACTCTTTTTTCATGGCTGATGTGAAGAAGGCCGGGTGGAACGCGCAGAAATGCCCGCCGGGTTTGAACAAGGAGCTGGCGGGCGCGTGCACGCCCAAGAATTGCTCCAAGGGCGGCATTGCCGCCAAGTGGAAGACGGCGTACCTGCAGAAGAACAAGCTCGGTTACGAGCTGTACGTGCCGGGTAACCCGCTCACGCTGCTCAAGGCGAACCCCGCGTCGTGCTGCAACACGTGCGCCGCGACGCCTCTGTGCACGTACTGGCAGTACATTCCCGATATCACGATCGACGGGAAGAAGGGCAAGGGCGCGTGCTACCTGATCCACGACCAGATCGACTTCACTTGCGGAGAGATGACCGCGCAGTACTCGACGGAGACGAAGCCCGTGCCGCTTCAGGTGCGCATCGGCGGCGAGTGCAACCCGAGCGCCAAGATTCTCAACGACCCGCATCTGGTGGGCGCGCACGGCACTCACTTCGACTTCAACGGCCGCCCCGACAAGGCCTTCTGCCTGCTCACGGACCGCGACCTGCACGTGAACATGCTGCTGCGCGGGTACTACGACGAGCGCACCGACAACGCGGCACTCGTCGTCGACGGCAAGGCCGTGCACACGTGGATTAAGGAGCTCGGTATGATCTGGACCGCCAAGGGCGTCGACCACAAGGTTCGCATCGCGGCGCGCGGCGGCAAGCAGCAGGAGCGCGGCGACGGGTTCGTGAAGAGCATCGAGATTGACGGCGAGGCGATCCCGCGCATGCAGGTGGGCGACAGCGTGACGAGCGACGGCGGGCTGACGATCCAGTTCCGCGCGCTGGAGAAGGAGGGGCCGTTCGATGTGGATTACTACCTTCTGACGATCGACGGCTTGATTTCTCTTGACCTCCGCCTGCGTGTGGCGCACCCGAAGCTGCAGACGCCGAGCGACGCCGAGGCGCACATCAACGTGGGGATTGCTGAGCTGGAGCACACCGACGCGATTCACGGCGTGCTCGGCCAGACGTACCGCGACGACCACTCGCAGCGCGCCACGGACTTCCAGAAGCTGATCGCGAGCCTGCACCGTCCGATCTCCGCCGACGGCGCTGAGGGGCAAGGCTTCCTCGATGGCACGCCGCGGTCGTACGAGGCGAGCGATGTGCTTGCTGTGGACTGCGCTTATACCGCGTATGGGCGCGCCAGACAAGTGATGCCCGTGCAAGAGTTCCCGTAAAGCGCTGACTCCGTTTCGGCTATTCCACATGTATTGTATAGTGGGCTGGAATTGATATGGAACTTAGTTAGTGATACCAGTTAGTCATATTGCAGCAAGCAGGCATAAAATCTTGTTGCCTTGATGTATACAACCCAACATTATTAACTAATATTTGCGCAACTTCCCATTCATATAGTTCCCGGCTATCAGATCATCGATCCCTTGTCCTTCTCTCCTGGTATCAACCGTGCACTGACAGTAGCAAAGTTCATTGACGGGCTCTGGTCACCGCAGCCCTAGCGATTGCATCCTTCCCTCTCCACACATAAGGGCGTGTCACCATTTTTCCTCTCTATTGACACAATCATCGACTGTAGACGTAATTTGGTTTGGCATGAGTTTCTGTGGTTCCTCGTTATTCGCCCGTAACCATACGACGTCGCATGCGTTCCGTAACGGCGTGGAACTTTTCTCGCTTTCAATTCTATGAGGCATCGTCTGTTTACCGAACCGACGACTAAACAGCAGTTGTGACAGAAATTACACAGCGGCTATTTCTACATGCATCATCTAGATGACTCCCCAACGTTCCGCCATGGATTCTGTCAGGCACTAAGGAAGCCTCAATGTCTACAAATTTCCTATCAGTTACTAATTCTAAACGCGGATTCGGAATCTACATGACAAGACAAGCAAGAAGATACTCTTTATGTGCTCAAATGTCGAGCATTGTAACTTCAAGTTTTTTGTCAGGCACTCCGTCACCCCCGTTGTTAACTACTGGAAGTGATCCCCAGAAGGTTTTCCCTATGCTAATGTCAGAAACTTATTTTCCCGAGGAGACATCAGACACAACAAAGATTCTACCGCGATTAACTAATACCAAGGAACACTCAACTACCAAGGACAACGGTTTCATGCATCATCAGCCAAGGAAGAAAATAAGGCATTTGCAGCTACATCGCGGCTATAAGAGAACGGTGCTCAGAGCAGTCAGTTTAAACCACACATTTACGCGTGCTTCATCAAGCCTCGGTCGCAGTTTCTCCAGCTCTCATCATCGCACCATGCCGCGTGTGACGAAGAAGACTGTCAAGCCGGTAACCAAGTCTGCGGTTTCTGAAGTGATGGATCTGGCAGCTAAGGGACATCAGTCAGAGCCGGCTACGCCGAAGCCGCAGTTGAAGGATGTAGAAGGTCCTTTTGACGGTGGTGTGCGCGCATCGCTGGCGAAGAGGCTGTCGGCACTTAAGTTTCCTTCTTCGGATGCGCCTGTTGGAGATGGGGACAACAACGCTAACGAAGGACAAGGAAAAGAGGAAGAGGTGAATTCGCCGACCGCTGCTCCTGATGCACCTGAGGAGGGAGGTGAAGACGAGGAAGAAGAGGATGACGGGTATCTCAGTGATGATCCTGAGGAGCGTTTTGACCCGGTGAAAGCTGGAGAAATTGCTGCGCGCGCGGGTTTCTCCATCACGCTGCTGGTTCCGATCAAGTACGAGGAGGAGGTTCCCCGTACTATCGACACGGTTAAGGGACTCCTTGCGTTGTGGAGGAAGTTTATGTCGGCTCACGTACCGACGACGACAAGGTGCCAAGTCCTCTTGCCGGCGTGGCTGTCAAAGAAGCGGTATGGGAGGATGCAAGTCACTTTCCAGCAAGCATCGGACGCGAACTACGTGTGGTGTCGTCAGATCCAGCACAAGATGTTGAATGAGGAGAGCATTTACCTGGACTGGCAGCACCCGGAAAACCCGGTCTACATTCAGGAGCGAGCGACTAACCCGGACTCCATCGAGGTGCTGCTGAAGAGTGTCCCGGCGGCTATTACGTCGGAAATGGTGTATGAATACCTGGTGAAGACGGTGTTGGAGAAGCGGGGTCGGACGCCGTTCCTCAGTGGGGCTGCCTTCCACAGGGTGGTGGATCCGGTTACCGGCGCAGACACTGACAAGATTCGGGGTCTGGTTAAGGGACACCCGGGGGATAAGTATCGCTGGTGGCATTTGTTGGTCGACTCAGTGCATCACAAGCAGCTCCTCGTGCATTACCCCTCGCTCACCTGTGATTTCTGCGCTGGCATGCATATGACGAAGTTTCACGATGATTTTGTTACGGAGCGGCAGGAGAACATCGACAAGTGGAACCTGACTCTCGAGCGTCTGCACGCGATCAACGGTAAACCATCAACCACTAACCTTGCTTTTCAGGCTATTGGGGCCCTGTTCGTCCCTGCTGACGGTCTCGTCGCCTTATACCTGAGCAGCTGCGTCCCTGCCTTTAGACGTGCGGGTGAAGAAGATTTTGCGCGATCCTGCGGTTGTTTTGGTCTCCACGGGAGGAAGCAGGGAGGATTGGCTGTGCGTCCAGGAGGCGTGCGGCAAGGCGCACGGATCCAGTTTTACGCAGGCGCTAGCGCATGTGAAGTCGGTGCAGCACTGTACAGCTATCCTGCAGGGGGACGCAGCAAGCAGGAAGAGCAGGGGGAAAATGAATTTTTTTCCGATTCGCAAGGAGTTTGGGCTGTAAAGGAGACAGTGCAGGGAAAGACGGCTGTCCGGAGTATTCATGACCGAGGCAGACGTGGCAAGCGAGAAGTAAGGAGGTTACCTGATCGTGGTGCGAGGATGTGCGTAGGAGTTTTGTTGTACCAAGCC